TCCCCTACCTCCTCCCTTCCTTCCTCCCTTTCTTTTTTCTTTCTTTCTTTTTAACTTTTTAATATCAGAATTTTCAGATATGCACAAATATAAGAAAATAGCATAATAAACCTCCATGTGCCCATTAACTCCTCTCCAAAAATGATCAATATCTATCCCTTTCATAATACTATAATACTTCAAAACAAAACTCAGACAATATATATCTCTAAAAAAACAAGGCTGCTTTTTTTCTTAGCCTAACCAAAATGTCTTTATGATACCTAAATACATAACTATAATTCCTCAATATCACATGTGGTGGTTAATTTAATGTTTCAACTTTACTGGGCCATGGGGTGCCCAGATATTTGGTCAAAAGTTATTCTGGGTGTTTCTGTGAAGGTATTTTTGAAATGCGATTAACATTTAAGTCAGTAGACTTAAATTGCTTTCCCTAGTGTTGGTGGGCCTCAACCGATTAAAGGCCTCAATAGAACAAGAAGACTGACAGTCTAACAAGTCCTCCCAAGTAAGACAGAATTCCTTCTGCCTGATGGCATTCAAATTGGGACATTGGTTCCCCACCCCCCCAACCCCCCACCCTTTGTGCTTGAACTGAAACGTTGGCTCTTCCTGGGTCTCTAGCCTCCTGGCTTTTGGACAGGAACTACATACACCATTGGCTCCATGATTTTCAGGCCTTCAGCTCAAACTAGAACTAAACTGTCAGCTCTCCTGGGTCTCCAGATCACTTACTCACTCTGCAGATCATGGCACTTACCTGCCTCCATAATGGAATGAGCCAATTCCTTATATTTCTTCCTATAGACATATATTAATACATCCTATTGGTTCTGTTTCACTGCAGAGCCCACACTAATATATCACCTGAACCAATGTATGTTCAATTTCCCCCAATAGCTCAAAATGTCTTTTTAGAGATTGTTTGAATCAGAATTTAAGTAAGTTCTATATGCCATTTTTAAGTTTATAAATATCAATTCCATTTGTGGCAACGTCATGGAATTTTTTCCTTTTCCTTTTATTTCTTAAATAATATTGAATAAGCCCCATGACACAGAATATTAAACACAAAATTTTAGAATCTGATTCCAGGTTTATAAGGATCAGAATGCACGCTTTAAATGTGTCAAGAGAGAAAGTGAAACACATTCTTTTTATACTAGTATATTCCTGGAAAGTCAATGAGCTCCTTTTCTGACTCCAGGCTCCATGTCTATAAAACAGGGGCATGCACATATGAAATATCTATTTGGCCTGCCTCACCAGGGATGCAGTGAGGGTTAAAACCCACTTCACATGATTAAATAGTTTAGAAATAAAAGTATCCAAAAAATGAAGAAACATATATATTAATATCATCATCGTCGTCTTCAACTAAGAAACATATCTCATTTCTTTATTTCCAACTGCTGTCTTATCCTCAGATGAAACTTATACAATTAGTGCAAAGTTGTGCTGCATTATTAAAATGAACAAAAGCAATTACATAGTGCTGTAAGGAAACAACCCTGGCCTTTGATCAGTAGCAATTCTGTCGGTATAACACATGGTCAAGAGTAGCAAAGGTTGGCCTCTCAGGTCACTACCTCAGATACTCACCCAGTACTATTGAGGTAACTCTGTCCCAAGCTGCAGTCCTTTGACAGAGAGGATGGATTGAACCAAAATGCCGGCAGACACTGGCCATTGCTGTGTCGCTCATAACCATAGTCACTGTTGGGGAAAGAGTGGAGAAAAACCTTTCAGCAGGTGGCAAAATGACAGAAAACAATTCCATGTTAGTCCACAGCCAACTTCTACTCTATCCAATTAGTCAAAACACAAACATTCCCTGGATCGATGCCTTCTCAACAACAGAACTTTTTTTTTCATAGAGTATCTATCAATTATTCATGAAAATATCCTACGGAACCAATAATGCCATTTAAACCCCTTTAACCTGAGAGAGTAGATTATTTTCTCATTAGAAGGATACACAATGCTGATGTGGTTGGACCCAGGGAAAGCTGTAATGAGAAAACAACAGGCAATGGTGGGAGCTCAACTCTCAGTGGCAGCTTTGAATTAGAGTTTAACACAGCCACAAGTGGCACAGTGCTCATTACTGGTGATGTCTTTGGGATGCTCTTCCAAGACATCTGGATCTCCCAAGTAGAGCTGAGCCAGGTCCCTCTGTGCACAAGCCATATGCTTCAAAGTCACAGCCAAAAAGGAAACGTCCTTCAGGAGTGTCCCGAGCATTCCCCTAAGGAAAAGTTTTATCCTAGGCAGTTAGCGCTGCCAGTGGGGACTAACTGTTTTGAATCTTCTGCCTACTTTGGAAATTTCTCAGCCTCCTTTCATTCTTGCCTCTAGAGATCTCTGAGTTGCCTGATATATTTGGCTTCTGGCAGATGAACCTGGGCACAGAGAATGACGACAAATTGCACCTCCACATGCACAGACAAATTGCAGGCAGCAAAGAAGCATTAGTAGGAATTGGCCCATGTGTGTGATGGAGGTGAGATGCTGGCACGTGAGCTCTGGAAGGAAGAAACAGGCTCAGCTCAGGGGGCTGCCACCAGGCAGCTGGTACTTGGAATTCTGCACATACTAGCTGGATTTGGTGCTGGTTCAACAAAGCATGGGTAGGAAGACTTCGTAATTGCTGCCTACGGGACACCCAGTGTTCACTTTAGGGAATTCCTTTACAAATGTTGGAGAATGACAGACAAGGTCATCTGGGGAACTGTCCAGGGGAAAGCCAAGCCAACAGGGAACATTCAGTGACAATCGCCTTTCATTACACTACAGCCAGGTGGAATCACCGAAACTGTAGCTACTGGTAGAAACCCAACAAGGTCAAGATGAGCCTTCCACAGTAGTTTCAGAAATCACGAAGCTACAAAATATCCCATTTGACCAGAAAATCTCACAATGGCCTCGTTCACGATTCATTTCCCACTTCTCAGGATGCATTTCACTTGGTGGGAGGAGTAGCAGATTCCAATCGCAAATGAATGCAGGATTGGGCCAAGACTGAGGGGTGAGAAGGATGGGGAAGGGAGAAGCCTAATTGTTTTCCTTATTCTTTGTTTCCTTCACTCTAGATTAGCTTACAACTGAAAAAGAAAAACAACACCCATGATGACAATGATAACAAAACACTGGCTTTTTCTGGATCTTCAATCTTGTAGAAAAGATTCAAAAAGAAGTAAATGTTTCCAGGAGAAATTGGGAAATTGGGACATCTCGCTTCACTTTTTCTCTTTGGTTTTGTATCAAAGCATAAATTTGTTCTCTGCAAAGGAATGGCTGTTTCATAAGGCCAAAGCTAAACCACTGATGTAAAATGCTAACTTCCTTTGCAAGTCCTGCTTGAAAGATAGGCAGCAGCAGTCAGGCTTTGGAAGAGGGATGTGATGAGTGACTAAAATCTCACGGTGGTTTTCCTGGTGAACGTATTTCAGGGTGTCAGTCCCGGAGGGCAGAACAGAGATAAAATATTTTTGTCATTGTAATAGAGTAATGTTGCCCTGACTGGAACAGAAGTCACAGTTTGGGAGGCCCCTCCAGAGTTCTCAGTGAGCTCCAATGCAACTGCAGCACTGTTGCCCTCTGGCTGAACCCAGAGGGATACAGCATTGGGTCTTAGCTGGTCTTGCTCAGGGACAAAGGGGAAACAGCCCTTGGGTTATCGCTCTGAGTGCTGGGAGCCAATGTTGCCAGGCCTTCCCACTACTGTTTATACAGAGAACATCTCCAGGGATCTACCATGATAAAAGGCTCACTTTTGCTAAGATATGTGATGTGCATGTACACAGTATCTCAGCCCAGTCACTGATACTCTGATGATCACGTATGTGACCTATGATTACTCCATAGCTAGAAATAAATTATTAAAGAATGACTTTCATTCTTATGTAAGTCAAGTTTTAATTCTTTAACATGTACATGCATATTTAGGAATTGCTTCCTCTAAACTAAAAACATGTAAATAAATTAAAAAGAACAAGAAAAAAGGAAGAGGGGAAAAGATAACAGGAAGTGAGGTGGGAATTACCAAGGGAGTTGCCACCGACTCATCCTCAATCATTTGTCAACCTCACCTGAACACTGAAGACAGAGAACAAGTCAAGGGCATATCACTGTCCCCACAGCTAGCTTTCTGCCTAGCAAATGTTCCAGGAAGACCGCTACAGCGCTCTGAGTTTAGTTTAACCTCCACATGTGCCAGTACTTATCCAGTTTAAACTGGCTTAATGCTGGTAGAGCAACAAGTTTCTTTACCACTGGGTTCACAGAGTTATGGATTTGCAATGTCATTGTACCCATCCTAGCACTGAGTTGAGGAATGTCTTCCATAGATCTCATAAGCTGTGGTCAGCTAACCACTGATTGAAAACTTTCAGGGACAGAAAATTTACTGCCTCTAAAGGCCATTGTTCCATTACCAGGAACTCTAGATTCTAGAGAGTTTTCATCTTAGAGCACAAATGTATTTGCACCCTGAAAAGTCCACTTACTGTTTTCAGTGTTGCTGTCTGAGGCAGCACAGGGTGGATCTGGTCTTTTTGTTCTAAGAATCTATCAATTACGTGAAGACAATTACCAGTCATCTTCTGAATCCTCTTTAAGTCTAATTAAACACTTGATTGTCCCATATACGCATGCACATAACTAATAAAACATAATGGCCTCAAGAGGTAATTTTGTAAGAATACGAGGCTTGCTGCTTAGCCCAATGTATGTTACTATTATTTCAAATCTAATTTTTCATGCTGGGCCATGTGGATGTGATATACGGAATGACTCCATGGGATAACTGTGAGGCTCACCAGTCAAAATCAGCCTCTGTGCAGACACAGGGTTCAGACTCCATAGCTCCTGCGTATTTTCCTTGCATACACTTCCGCTCTGACTTTCGCTTCTTATAGATCCTTTTCGCTCCCATGATGCATGCTTCCCCCTGTGAGGAGACAAGGACGACACACACTTGGGCACATAGCTTGGACTTTCCCTGCCTCACATTAGGGCAGTTTAGGGAGATGTTCACAAACTTTAGTCTAATATGGACTTTGGTGGCCCTCTTTGTGCTAACAGCATTTTTTTATTTTTTTGATGCTAGAGCCCTACCCTATTACAGAATGTGACTATAGAGACAATTCTAAGAATTGCTGAGGAATGTGTCGAATAACATGCTTACATTCTTATGTATTTAGCAAACCTTTATTTGGCAAGATGTTAGGTGCAGTGCTATGAAGGATACACAGATGAGTAAGAGCCTATAACCAGTGTATTGTCAACAAATCTGTAGTAATTAAGTTCAATTCTCTTATGATAAAAGATTTATATAGTTGGTCAGTTATGAGCACATGAAAGAAGAGTATTGCTAAGAAACATGAAGATTCATTTTGTCCCAATTTATTACGCCTCTGCTCACATAACTTTATAGCACTGATTTTATGTTCGTCTACCAGTGGAGTGAGAGAGCTAAACTCAGTGTTTTTCCACAAAATAAATAAAAGCTTTGAATATCACAATGCTTATGTATCCCAAAGGGGAAAATATCAGTAATGGAAATGAGCAATAATTTTATTGTTGAGTCTATGAATACAGTGGGTGTTTCTAGGTAATGCAACACCCACTATCAAACACAGCTTCTTTTGTGTTTCAGAAAGACCAGCGCAGAATTTTGTTTAACCTACTTCATACTGTCTTTCTTGAGCAAACTCACTTTAACTGGCTTCATTACACATCTACAAGCAAATATATTATTTAGTCTAGATTTGGAATATGTGATTTTTTATTTTGCCTGAATATTGTGATGGCTTTGAAGCAAGAACTTCCACCATATCCTTCGAGAGGCCTGGAGAATGATATCTACCTTCAAAAAATCAAAGAAAAGATGTTTCCAGCCAAGCATTTTGAGATGAGCTGCAGAATTGAGAAGCCAGGACAAGTTTCCTGTTGATAATTCTGCATTCTCGTACTCTGTGTACCTTGGAAGGAGGCAAGATGCACTATATAATCCTAGGGAATCAAGGCAATGGGGAGGAAGGATTTTCCTGGCACTGCTCACCCAGCATCATTTTGTTATTTTATGTCTCTGCATTGCTAGATAAAATTGAAGATCTTTTTCTCGCCCCTGCCCCCACCACACAACCATACGACATGCTCAGATAAATTACGTTTGGATCTCGGTGCTGAGTTGGTATTTCATTTTGAGTTGTAAGTCTAAGCCAAGCACATTTGAATTTTATCTCATTATATCCTAGCACAATAAAAACAGAAATGACTTCACAACAAGCTATAAATGTTGAGTTTGTTCACTGCTGTGGAACACAAAACATATAAGAAAGCACTAGACAGACATTTTGGCCTAGAGAACCCCAGTTCCTACACCTTAGCAAAGAGCTTTCTCCCACCACCTCCCATGCCTCCTGCCCAGGGATCAGTCTCAGTTCTCTTCCTCCTACCTGGCTGTGCAGCTGCCAAGGTCTGTAGTCCTCCTCGGCACACCGTCTGTCAAAGATGGACTTGTAGTCCACTTTGACCAGCTGCCATTCAGAGCGGTGGCTGAAGTGTCCAAACACTCTGTAGAGTTCATGATGATAAAAATAATCACATTGATAACCATGCCAACATTATAACAAGAGTTAGCATTTGTGGAGTGAGTACCTTGAGTTGGGCGCACGCTAAGCACATTACATGGATCATACCATTTAATCCTCAAAACATATTTACAAGGAGGGTACTATTACTGCTTCCACTTTACAGAGGGATAACTTGAGCCTCAACATGCAAAAACCAAAATCAAGTCACTAAGAACCAGTAGAACCAGAATCCAGAGTGTTTGACTCAACAACCCACTTGAATATATTGTACCACAAGAATGGTTGAAAAAATACTCTTGAAAAAACAATCACAAATGCTGTATTCTACATAGTTGTAAGATTAGACTTCTGGGCTCTCTTGCTAACGTACATGGTTCCCATGGTTTCCATGCTATTTTACCTTCCCACCAGTTCTGAGGGAAGGTGGGAAGCAGAGCTAAGTAGTTACAAGGGTTTCCCACATTGTACATTCTATTCTCCTTACTCAGAGAGACTCAGGGATTTAATGAGGTGGTTGAATCACCAATCGTAGGAGTGAATAAAAGCCACAAAGTGGCCTTTTGGGTCAGATTTTTAAAATCTGTGTTTTGCAAATATAAAAACTGAATAAAGACAGATTATGGAAAAAATTGCTAATTTAGTTATGTTTGCCATAGGCAAAAGTATACCTATCTGGCATATTAAATTTTTGCTGTTTTCTACCAATGAAAAAAATGGTGGTGGTAGGGGGTAGAATTAGAAAATGTACCAAGTATTCCCTTTGATTTTGAAATTTTCATTGATGACAGAATCAACTACTTTAAAACCTTCCTTTTCTGTTTTCCATGTTCAACTTTTTAAAGGAAGGAAGTATCACAGATTCATATTTGAAATTCAAAATCCATGTTTTGAAAGCCTTAGGCAGCTGAGTCATTAATCAAGTCTTTCACAAATTAATGATCATCACTTTCCAGACAAAAGTGAGTGTAAATGCAATTTCACGAGAACAGATTGTTCTCATGGTTTTCCTAATGTGTCTCACAATTGGGTTAGGTAAAGAGCCAGGGAAAAATACAATCCTCTGAGGCATTTTGATAAAGCTCTGTGTTCTGACTTAAAGTGAGATCATTCTTATGTGCCTAAGATTTTCTGCCTATCCAGTTTGTTTATTATTAAAGTCCTAAATGTATAACTTTATTTTCTATTGAAATCATCACATCTAATTTCCATAAGTCCATTTAATACAGAAAGAAAAGAGCTTTGCCCTTTTTCTGTCACCCTTCTTCAGTCTGGGTCTCTTAAAAACTATCAAAGAACCAAGAAAATGGTTGCCTGCAATTTTCCTTTTTCTTTGCTGGGCGCTCTTGCCATGAGACACACTGACTTTGCTAAAAACCTCAAACCTAACAGCAGCAAATCACACAGGCTTAGCTGTAAACCACCTCTCTGGATTTGTTCTCTTCCATTAAGACTGGAACACATGATGGTTTTCCACTTACGTCATGATAAGAGTCTCTTCTCCAGGTTCCCCCAGAACCCCATCCACAAAAAGTGGAATAGATGTGAAACTGTATTTGCTCCAAGATCTCCCTTCATCAAAACTCAACCTAATGACAGAAAAAAAATGAGTCACTGGACCTCAAAAGAAAAAAAATATATATATCCTTTCAAAGGAAAGATACTATCCACAGGAGAGAATACATTTTAAAAGTAGCCAGGGCATTGTCTAAGTGAGCCTTTCATATGACTAACGTTCTTTTTATTATTATTATTATTTATTTCAGCATATTATGGGGGTACAGATGTTTAGGTTATGTATGTTGCCCATGTCCCCCTCCCCCCACCAAGTCCGAGTTTAAACTAATGTTCTTCATCACATCAGAACATAGAAACACAGTTCGGTAAGCCATTGGGACCCAGGTGTGTTAAAACATCAATAAGGATGGGAGAGGTGTATGACACAGGAATGACAATAAATCTTTGGTAGAATTTTTTAAAATTTTGATATTTTATTAGCTCTTAGACCTCAGTGTGACCCTCTCCAAAACCTCACTGCTATCTAGTCACGGGACTTACAGGTGATCCTGAAGAGCTATAACCTTGCAAGATTTACTCAGCGAGATTTCAACCAACCTATCTCTTAGTGGCCAAATCCTAAGCCTGCCCTTCTTATGCTATAATAAATCCTAGCTGACCTCATCGAATGGGTCGGTGAAGAGGGACAGGCTCTTGAGAGCAAGAGAAGTCTGCAGTTCTGATGGTCACTGCAGTGGTGGAAATGTTTGCCTCCTCCCCAAAATTCAAATGTTGAAAATGGAATCACCAAAGTGATGATATTAGGAGGCAGAGCCTTTGGGAGATGTTTAGATGATAAGGTGGAGCCCTCGTAAAAGAAATTAGTGCCCTTATAAAAGAGGCCTCAGAGAACTGCCTTTTCTCTTCTACCATGTGAGGATACAGCAAGAAGGCACCATCTATGAACCACAAAGTCAGGACCTCACCAGACACCAAATATGCCAGCACCTTGATCTTGGACTTCTCAGCCACCAGAACTGTGAGAAATAAATGTCTGTTGCTTATAAGCTATACAGTTTATGGCATTTTGTTACAGAAGAATGAATGGACTAAGACAGTCACACAGGATCTTTTCTTTGGCCCTGTCTTTCCCGAGCTAAGCCTTTGTTTCTCTTTTGCAGTTTTCCCTTCAGCCATCAAAGTTACTAACAGTGGATGGAGAACAAGGCTTTGACTCTGGATAAGCTCACATATGGAGAGAGTCACTTTCAAGCACACACATGAAGGAGCCTATTGGAAACCCCTCTAGAAGAGAGGGTTTGCACAACCATCTGTGGAAGACCCCCAGGCAGAATTGGTTGCAGAATGTCACCTCAAAAAAGGAAACTAAGGAAGCAGGATCAGGAGAGATAAGATAGGAGCAAAATTATCATGCACTTCTAAACTCTCTGCGAAATGCACGTAATACATGCAAATACTAAACTGCAGGAGATGTTATTTGAAAAAGGTGACTGTGAGAAGTTAAGCTACTCAGAGACCATACCTGGTAGTGAACATTATTCTACCTGTGATTGTGTTGAGAGAATAAGGTCCTGGTGGGTGTGAGGGTATTGTTACATTTGAAAACCATAATGCAATTCCTTTCTAAAGGCACAAAACCTCTATCTCTCTCTTTCTCTCTCTCTCTCTCTCTCTCTCTCTCTCTCTCTCCCCACCCTTTCCTACCTCAACCCCTCTAGCAGACGTTGACCTTTTATTACAAACATAGTCACAGTTTGATAGCCTGACTCCTACACTGATCTTAGCAGTGCAGAACCATCAGGTGCACACGTCTCACAGGCAGCAGGTGCCCTTACCAAAGATGTCGAATTGGGAGAGATGTGTGTTTCATAGCAACCAGGACTCCGCCTTGATCCAGGTATAAAACACTGTGTTCTTCTTCAAAGATCTGGATGAGGAAAACACATACACATGGACACACATCATATGCACACATAGCCAGCGTTCAGAGACTCAGTCTTCACGTGAGGACAAAATTCCCTCCCATGATAGAAATAGGTTTCCTTAAATCTTTGAGAAAATACAGTTATAAAACAATGCTTCCTAACATGGGCTACCTGTACCATTGGTGTTATGTAAAATGGTTTTAGATGTGCCCAAAAGAAATTTTAAAAATGAATAGTTATAGATTCATGTTTATGTTCCCTCATTTTTATGATAATTTCTATTGATTTACATTTATGATGATGTCAGGATATTGGGTAACTGTTATATATTATACATATCTAGATGGAAGGAACCTTAGAGATAGTTTACTCCAACATTCTCATTTTTATAGATGAGAATATTAAGGTTTAGAGAGATGTCTTGACTTGCCTAAGGCCATGCATATAGTAATTCACAGAGCTGGGACTCGCTGCATCACGGAGCCCCTTTCCAGATCTTATTGTTTCGAAGTTTCCAAGTGGTATCAAAGAAAGCTATTCTTGTTTAATTCATAGATTCTCTACCACATCATAGGTAGCTCTGATCAAAATGAAATTATCATCTTTGGGTACATGTGTCATTAGGTCTTTCTCCAATTGTGGAAAAACCAATTTTAAGTCAAATGGAGATATACTGAAAACAGTTTCTAACTCCTCTCTATATAAGATGCATGCTGTTTTGTCACTCAAATTGCTAGGATAGCCTTGTGTGGAGTTACACTACAGCCATAATCTTTTTCCCCTTTGTTTACTTCTCATACCCAAGATGTGCCCCACGACTATAGAATTAGAGACTTCTTTGCCTTGTTTGGGGTGTTGGAAGGAATAAAATGGGATCCTGGCTCTCTATTCTCCTTAGAATAGGTCAAATTTCTACATACCTCCAAGATCAATTGCTCTGCGGTTTCTTAAGCAAATTTTTTCCCTTCTTTGCTCCTATCAAAATATGAAAATCCCACTGAGGACCTACAAAGGGTTCGAAGCTAAGAAATGACAATTGGACCATAATGTGGACATCTCTATCTAAAATTTAAAGCAGAGTGCTCTCGTTGCTAAGTGTGATTACCTGTGCATTAGATTTCAATTTACAGTGCTAGTTATTGTATGATAATTAAATGTCAGTGGGTTATTAAAACATGTTTATCGAAGTGTAACAACCATGCATTAGGCACATATCTTGTTATGATTGCTAAACCTCATTAAATGCCTGTTTTATAAGCCATGGGTATCTAATTTTCATTCAGAAGAAAGGCAGGAAGCATTTAAGCTAAATGCTTTGGTTTAAAGTGATTCCATTTCTACTTTCTCTAACATATGCATCCTGACGGTTATTACTCTGTCTTTTGCACATGAGATTTAAACATCTCAGAACACCACCTGGGTAATGGCTATTTCTATATCACTGCATTCCTCTCTATTCTGACTTCAAGGCAAGGGGAATTTATTGCAACTCAGCGTTAAGTATGCAAGCTATCCTTAAGGCTCCATGTTCCCTATATATGATAAACCCATAGGAATTTTGGTTTTCGTTTAAGGGAAAAATTTAGTCAGACTTAATTGAGTTTCATTGTCACTTATAAACATTCTTATATATAGGCTCTGAACAAAGAACATCTTTATTAAATGATAAAAAATAAATTTTTTATCACAAAATATTTCCTAAACTTAAAGACTTAAGGCTTTCATAAAAAAAGGAAAATAAACATATTAGCAGGCTTTAGGGTTTATGTTCAGTATTGCTGAATAAGTTTCCAGAACTGAATCAAATTGGACAATTTTTATGCCATCTAGACTTCAGGGCAACTTGACCCAGGATATTTTCTTACCTGCCTCCAAGTGTTCCCTGCATCTGAAGAGACAAACATGCTGATGTCGCTGTCTGACAATTCAGAACCTATGTTACCTAGAAAGAGAACATCACCATTAGTGAAAAGAACTTTCTGCAAAAGCTAACAATGGACTGCATTGCCTGGGAAGGAGTTTGACTGCAAACATTCTGTCTGAGCAGGGGTTTTCTGCATACTTGCTTCAGGGCCAATGGCTTAGGTGCCTTTCAAAAATATTTTTAGCTTGCTCATTATGTTCCAAGCACAGATATCTAGCTTCTTAAAATAAACACCATTTTCAACAGCAAGCAAACCAGGCAAGCTTCCTACCTGATGCCACTATGATGCTGGGAGCTGTGTCTTTGCTGGCAATGATCCCAGATGTGTAGGGGTTCTCAGAGACCTTCAGGTGAAGATGTAGTGAACAATAGGGCTGAGAAGAGAAAAAAGTGAGTACCATAAAATCATATAATCTAAGTGGTCATTTAAAGTCTAGATTCAGAGCACCCATCCACCCATCTATCTAACCAACCATCCCATCTACCATCCATCCATGCACATTTCCATCCACCCGTTGTGCCAAAACATACACCCATCCACCATCTTTCTTTCCACAAACACCAGTGTCCATTAAGCGTGAGATGGCTGCCAAGCTGAAGTAGAGAGCACCTTTGTTTTAGGTATAATTTACTGACTTAATCCCATTTGGTCATTTAACAAACATTTTAGTACCTTACCTTTAAAACCATGGGTGAAGCTCATGAAAGGGTTACATTAACGAAAATTTAATCTCTGTCATTACAGAGTTTACAATTTAAATAGAGGACATGCGATCTTTCTATTGACTGCCATAAAAAAAGAATATTTTAACGGCCATAAAAAAAATGAAGAGACAAAATAGTGTGAGATTTTAGTAGGTGAAGAGCTTATATCCAACTTTGGATCAGGGATGGCTCTAAGGAGGAAAGGGTGCCTGAGGCAAAGATGGGTAGGCTGCAAAGAACCCGTGAGACAACAAAGAGCTTAAGGAACATTTCAGGCCAGAGTCATATTAATGACAAAGAAAACGGAGCAGGACAGCAGAGCAGTACAGTAGTCACACAAGACTGAAGAGGAGAAATGGGTGATGAAGCCAGGAAAGAAGGATGAGTTAAGCTGGGAGAACTTTAAAAAAGTCAATTAGCATCTCTTAGCCACCCTCTATTTTAGACCCTGGTCTTGATTTTATAGAAAAAGCCATATGACATATGAAACCGTGTTAGAAGCCACTAAACAAGTGACATAAGTGTCTCTACCAGGATATTATCAGAATCAGTGTCGTTCAATATAAAAGTCATACTTGTAGACAAAACGCACTAGTAAGAAAAATGTAAATGGAAATTTAAGGGACTTGTTTATCCGTGAAAACAACCTTGATCAAATTCTTTGATTAAGATGTCGACAGTTTCCAAGAAAAAAAAAGGATAATAAATCTTTTACGGATTTCATTTAAAACAGTTCTTGTACTGGTTGTCAAAAAATACAAGTTTATGTTTGAACCCACATTTCTTTTCATCTCTGAGGAAGATTACTTTCTAATCTTATCGACTTGAGATTTTGGAATCACCAATGTATCTCTGTTATTACTTTTATTCTCCTCTGTAAGTCTCAGGCAGCAGATATTCAGACAGCTACAGATACAATGATTAAATTTATATAGGATGGAGTAAATGACAAACTAAAAATGAAATTCAGGAGTAAAAGCAGCCAAAACGCCAGTGAAATAAAATAGCAGATCACAATAGGGACTTTTCTTCACTGCCAACCCAGAGAGTAAATGTCTCAAGGAGTCATAATAGTAATAAATTATTGGTTGTTTTTTTTTTTCTTTATCCTTTAATTTCCTACTTCCTTTTTTTTTTTATTTCAGCATATTATGGGGGTACAGATGTTTAGGTTACGTATGTTGCCCTTGCCCCTCCTCCCCCCTAAGTCTGAGTTTCAAATACGTCCATTCTTCGGGTGGTGCACGTTGTACTCTTTGTGTATGCATATACCTGTCCCCTCCTCCCTCCTCCCCCCTCCCCCTCTCGCCTGCCCAACATGCAATAGATGTTGTTCTTATATGTGCACTTATGTGTTGATCAGTTAATACCAATTTGATGGTGAGTACATGTGGTGCTTGTCTTTCCATTCTTGGGATACCTCACTTAGTAGAATGCGTTCCAGCTCTATCCAGGAGTATACAAGAGGTGCTGGTATCCATCAATACATGAGTGGATTAATAAAATGTGGTATATGTATACCATGGAGTACTATTCAGCTTTAAGAATAAATTATTGGTTTTAAATAAAAATTTCATGTAAGGTTTCAAATAAAAGTTTTCACTTTATAATGCTTGATAAGAATAAAAAAGACAGCCTCTATAAGAAGAAACATCAGACCCAGACACTTGGCTTTTTCTTTTTGTCCAAGGGGAAGGCTAGAACAGATACTATTAAAAGTTGCAGGGCAGCGTTGTATGATGCTCAGGTCATGCTGAGACAGGATACAGTGCAGGTGTCAAATGATTTCTCCATGAAAGTTTTCCTGACAACCGCAGCCTATCTGGCCTCCCCTTCTCTGATCTACAATAATTTATTTTACCATGCACAGTGCTGTATCATCTATTTTGAGTATGTCCAATCTTATTCCCCTAAGAGATATACTCTACAAACAAAGAGAACCCATCAAATACTACTTCGCATTTTCTGTGGAGCCTACCATAAAATCTAAAAACAGATAATAAAAGCTTGCAATACCAAGTAATGCTTTTTTGTTAGGACATGAAAGACATCACTTTACTATTTTACTAAGAGCAATGCCAGTAGTATGTGAGTTTTATTATAAACCACATCATCTGAGTAATGTTGTGAGCATCTCCATGGCATTCCAAGAAGTACAGTACTTCTTAGGGTGTATCCTTAGACACGGGGGCTTAACGGAGGGCCTCTTGTACCACCTAACAGAGCAGGACATCCCTGGCCACGGGAGCACCCAACTTGCAATCTTGAGCCAGCTGCTTGCCACGGTACAGACTGTGATGCTAAATTGCCACCTGATGCAAGGATTATTCAGTAATGGGCACTTCCCGTGACAAAGGAAAGAGGTCATTTTCAATTGGCTGTCTCAGCACTGCTCTGTTGCTATGGCTTTCAGGGGCTGAGATATATGAATCTGAGAAGAAAAGACACCAGTTCACAAGGTAGTAGCAACAGCAGAAACGATCTTTTGGTGTACTTTTTCCTCCACTCGCACATTTGTAGTACTGGATTGCCCCCAGCTGGTACTAGGAGAATATTCTGTGGCTTTTTTCTTCTTTCATTTTTTTCAAGGAAGTTATATGTGGTCTCCACAAATGTTTTAAAGAAAAATACATAAAGTGTCTCATCTTCACTTTTTTAAAACTTTTGTGCCTGACCAGTTGTGGACATTTGTCAAAGTTAAGTCATAATTAATATATTTTATATTAATATATTTATTTTATTATGATGACTGTCAAGTCGCTCGAAGTTCCTGAAGTACACAAGACAAAAAGATCTCCAATTCTTATGCAAATTTTGCCCAGAAAAGAGTATTTTGTAGTCCTCTCTCTTCCTTCCTTCTTGTCTTCCTGCCTTCTTTTCTCTCCTGAGCAAATACGTGCTGAGTATCTACCACATGCCATGCTAATTAATAGTCACAGCTCTTTCTGTACCCTTCCACAGTTGTCTCCAACTCAACAGATTAAAGCACCTATATTTCCCTGCCCTCTCCACATTAAGAAAATATAGGAATGTACGCCAAAACCAACAATGATCTAGCAGCTGCCTTACAGAGGATGAGGGGAGCAGCTCACATGTTTGGAAGCTGCCTTTTGAGTCCTTATAACACATAGGCATATCATCAATTGGCTAATTCTGTGAGTGACTGCATCCTTAGTCTTTAATCTTTTCAGGGTCAAGTACAAAGTTTGAGAATCTAATGCAAATTAAGGACCAAAAAAAAAAAAAGTGCATGAAAACAGGTGCACAGAATTTTTCACTTAATTTCAGGGAGTTCACAAACCCCTAAAGTTCATCAGTGACCTGTAGGTCACCAATTATCTTTTTTTTCCTTATTCTTTTATCTTTTATTTTAACCAACAAAATCCTTTGCCCACTGCAAGTGTTCAATGTCTGCTGGATTTAATTGATCCATTATTTTCTTTTCACATCAAATACTTATCATTTATTCCTCCTGTCTAACTGAAACATTCTACCATTTGGCCAACATCTCCTCATCCCCCCACTCCGCAGCCTCTGCAGAATGGTCACTAGCATTCTACTCTCTGCTTCTGTGAGATCCGTTATTTTAGATTCCACATGTAAGTGAGAACAAGCAGTGTTTGCCTTTCTGTGTCTGGTTCTCTAGGTGATTCCTTAATTACCTACTGTGTTCCTAGCACTGTGGATGGCCAGTGGGGAATTAACAAATGATAGAAGACATTTCCCCAGCATGAAATAAATCAACTTTAAAATCTGTTAGATTTGAGGGTCAACCAGCTTCAAATTCTACTTCTTTCTCCCCAACCTCTGTTATCAGTAGCCTTTAGATCTTATCTTCATGGTGTCTTTATCTCCATGGAGGATCCTAACCTGAGTATTGTACTGAAAAGACAGATCAGAGCTTTCATAAATAACCAGGCAGTAAGCGTCCCCAACTCCCTCCCAATATACACACATTTGTGCAGTTTCTGACTCGGAATTGCAGCTGGAAATCCATGGATCTTTAGGAAAGAGTCAATGGCACAGAACAGGGAGGCCCCCGGGTCAAGAGGCTGGGTATGGGATATTCAGCTCACTGCAATCCATCAAAACACGGAGCCACAGACAATACAAAGGAGGCGAAAAACAGAGTCAAGAATCTCCTGGGGCAGCTGCCTGCTCAGCTCCAGCAGAAAACTGCGAGCTGAATCCATAAAGAAGTCAGGGCCCCTTTCCATGGAACACTGCGCTTCCCCTAAGGGCCCAAGGATTTGTCACAGGCTCAGCTCAGCTCACATCTTGCCTCTTGGGAGCCCAATCCTGAGGCTTTGGAGGCAGGTGGACCATGACCTATAATACCCTATCTAATTGTACAATGCAGTCTTCAGAGGAAAGAAATCTCAGCTGGGCCCTCCAGGCAATCAGTCTAAAAGTCCTAAAAATACAGCCCCAAATTACCCTGGATGTCTTATTTCTATAGAATACATTTTGCCAGGAACATTCCATTTGGGGCTGCGATTCTGAACTTATTCCACATTTGTAACAGCCCTGCTGAAAATCTCTTTTCTAATCACTAGGCTGTGCTTTTGGTGACACTGTCACTTTCCAAGTACTCACAATCTAAAATCACTTTTTATCTCCTCTTTGCCACTAGCTCCCAAGCCTGAAGAAGGTTTTTAACAATCTGAGTCTCCTGTAGCTTAAAGATTTTCTTTCCTATTTTGTGCCTTTGGCAGATTTTTCTCTCCTGCCCACTCCCTTTGTCATTTTCCCCTCCTCACCCTGCAGCCTATTTTATGAAGCTCAGGATGAAACTACATTAAGCAACAGGGTTAATAAGGAAGGAAGGCTGGAAGACGTCTGTGTTCCATACATCTGTATCCCAATAATTCATCTTTCTTCAATCTTAATGAGCCTCTTGCTTTTGTAAACTTTGGGGACAACTTGAGCCCATGAGTTTCAGAAGGTGCATATGACGACTCATCCTCCAGTGTGACTCTCAGAGGGAATGAATGGCTTCCACTGAAGTCCAGATGTGAAACTCAAACAATACCTTTCAACGGAGTGCATACTCTAAACGCACACAACACTTATAACAACAGTATGCATATTGAGCACCTGCCACATGGAAGGTATAATTATAATTCTTGGAGATGATTCTTTGGAATGACTAAAAAGATAGCCCAGTGCCTCTGCTCATGGAGCTCACATTTCAGCAGGGGAAGATGGACAAGAAAGTCAACAAATGCATGTGGCTGATTTCGGAGAGTGATAAGGGTCATGATGAAAAATGAATTGGGACAAATACAACGTTAGAGGATGTTCAAGAAAGCTCTCTGAGATTCAGGTGATCAAGCAAGGATGTGAATGCCAAGAAAAAGCCAGACAGGGAGAAGGACATTTTAAGAGAAATAATGGCAAATGCAAAGACCCTAAGACATAGATGAACACGGTGAGTTGCTGGGATGGAAAGAAACATTCCATCTCCCATCACGGCTTGGAAGGAAGGAAGGAAGGAAGGAAGGAAAAGGAGGTTGGAGAACAGGCAGGAGATGTAGACAGGGGCCTTGCATGATAAGTAATTTAATTTATTCTACATGAATTAGAAAGACATTAGGGGGTTTAAATAAAGGAGTGATATGAATTGATTTTTAAAAAGTTTAAGTTGATATCATTTACATACAATTTTAGAAAACAGAAATCTAATATATGGTAAAAAGAAAGCAGATCAGTGATATTCTAGGGCTGAGAGCATGGGTTATAACTGCAAAGAGGCATGAAGGAAATTTTGGGGGGTGATGGAAATGTTCTATCTTGATTGTGACAGTGGTTACACAGGTATATGCATTTGTCAAAATTCAATGAACTGTACTCATATAAGGAATATGTGTGTATGTTTTATCTCACTAAGGCTGATTTTAAAAAAGGTCACATTGGCTGCTGTCTAGAGAATGAATTGCCAGGCCGAAATAGGAGGACCAGACAGAAGCCTGTCACTGTGGGTCAGGTGAGAAATGATGGTGGTTTGGATTAGGATCCTCCCAGTGGAGAGGGGAAAGCAAGCTGATACTGCATTTATATTTTGGAAACACAACAATAAGACTTCCTGACGCTGGGTTGAGGGTGGAACAGGGAATACCTTGCTAAGTGCTTTGGTTAAGAGGCATTTTAATGGTCCATTTATAATGCCAGAGCGCCCAGGCTGGTCTATTTAGGTGGCAGTTAAATTCTCTCTCATAGGCATTTAATCTCCAAAGTGAAGAGAGGGAACAGAAGACCACATTAAGGTATTGGCATATCCCAGGCATCTTTGGTTAAACGTCACAATGTTCCAACTGAGAATAGCTAAACTAGGAAGGTGGCCTTGTTTTTAAAAATGTTACTGAACTGTGCCTTGCATAGAGTAGGTATTCAATAAGTAGCTGATACATTTACTTACTCTGTCACTGGCTTTGTGCACTTACTATAACAACTGGCTCTTCTCCCCCTGTAAGCTGCCAGTAATAAGGGTGGAAGCTGCGTGGGAGGCTGGATTTCAGACTGCTTCCCTGATGCACAGTGACAACTGTGATATCCTCTGCAACTAATAAGGTCAAGCGATGACTGCTGGTGTGTTCTCAAGTAGGAGGGTGACCCGTCTCCAGCTGTGTGAGATGAACCTGCAAAGTGACTGTCCAGACTTTCTGGGATGGAAGGAAGCTAGCCAAGTGTGGACAACATCAAGGTGTAATTGTATGAAGAGTGCAAACAACTCTATATGTGTAGTTTATACACACACACACACATACACACATACACATACCCCAAGCCCTTCTTACTAAAACTAAGTGGTCTTCCCTCTAGGCTTACATCCTGGTCTCTCCCTTTTCTAAATGTAAACACAACTTATGAATTGTTTAAAGAAATCGATAATATTAATTTAATAATACTTTGTTTTGCACTTTGTAACTAATCTCTTCTTCCCCCCTTGTGCATTCTCTTAGTGTCTATTGTTGTGTCAGAGATGAGGCATCTGAGCTACTAAGACAAGTATAAAGGTGTGACCCTAAAATCTTTCATTTATTAATCTACTCAAGTAGACAAGTAGACTGCAAACTCCTTGAAGGCAAGGTCCGTCTTTGATCCTCCTATGGATGTCATCCTACGTAAAATATATAAATAAATGCATGTTAATCTAATTACTTATTGCTTAAATGTAAGACAACTAAAAGAAATCATACTTCAAAGTAGGGGTCAGCAAACAGTTTTTATTTTAAAGGGACAGATAATAAATATTTTAGGCTTTGTTCACCATAAAGTTTCTGTCTTGACTACTCAATTCTGCCCCTAAAGAGGGAAAACAGCCACAGACAATATGTAAATGAATAAGCATGACCGTGTTCCAATAAAAACTTATTTAGAAAAACAAGTGGTGGGCCATATTATGCCCACAGGCCATCGTTTGCCAACTCCAGCTTTACAGAATAAGACAGAACGAATGGAACATATCATAAAGAATACCAATAGGGGTTTAAATCAGTTGTTCTTACTCTTTTTTGAGTCATAGACTCCTCTGAAAACGTGATTAAACATCTCCACAGGAAAATACTCTACACAATTTTGCATTCAGTTCATCAATTCTACAGCTGAATCTATGTATTATTAGTTCTGTAACAGGTTAGTCATGAGAATGTAAGGCTGTTTGGGACAAATCCAAACCAGAGACGGAAACTACCTTATTCTCCCTAAAACTACCATTTGGGGTCCTCATTAGAACTTGGGCTGGAACCAAGGATCCTGGAAGGGCACACGAAACTTCCCCATGTTCTCCTATCTCCTTGGCACATCACAGGGATGTGGCTCTTCTACACCCTCTGCCTTCACACCCTTCCCTGCCTGCTTTCGTTCATGAACTGAGCAAAACTCCCAGAACTGCTGTCGTCCTGTGTTTAACATCCATTTCCAGCCCTGCACTGTGTGGGGCGTTGTGCTCCCACATGAAGACTCACCAGCAAGCAGCGCACGGGGTCCCCCCTTAGATCCGTGTCTGGTGCCTGCAGCAAACGCCAGTCTCTGCCTTTGTTATACGTGATGAAAGTCTTCACTTGGTTGTCAATCTTCTTGTTAGCCAAGAACATTCCCTTTATCCCTGCTACCTGGGAAAAATTGACATGGCTGAAAAATATATCAATTTGAGAAGGAATATATTTGTTCACTTTAAAAAAAGAAAAAAAAAAAAAGCAGGCTGTCAAATTCAGCCAAATGCACTTATCTTGGAGGAAAGAGTGAGAATGGTGGAAGGGGGGTGATGCTTAGGTATAATGATTCCCAGGGCTGTTGGAGCAAGAGATTGGTGCCCCTTATCATATGGGGGTCACAACATAAATTTGATAGGGGCTTCATATTACCCCTAACGTAGGTTGGCAGAAGCCTGCAGTTGCCAAGAGATAAACTCTGATGCTTTCTATTCTGTTGCCTGGTAAATAAATAGTCTTATTGTATGCTAGCATAGCACCCAGAATCTCAAACACTTTATCTCTTTTAATCCTTTTAACAGTCCTCTTCAGTATCACGTATTCGATTTAACAGCTGAGGAAAACTCAGGCTCATCCAGATAAGATGACTTGCTCGAGGTCATACTGCCTAAGGACACACATTAAGGGTTAAACCTGGGATGTTAACCCAGAACTCTATGACTTCACAGCTCATACTCCCAATGACTATCTAAATTATTAAGCTATCTGTAGGTTTGAACGATTAAAAGAGGTCAGTGAAAGCACCTGATCCAATTACTATTGTTTTTTTTTTTTTCAATAAAGGACCTCTCTTCAAAATACATTGGATATAAGAGAAGAGTTTTTAAATGGAAAGAGACAGTGGTTTCCCTAAATCAGCAAATGATCCCTACTCCATTCTCCTAACACTCTTGTTCTCATCATAAACAGTTCTCGTTAATTATTTGGCTCTGAAAATACAATTACCTCCTCTATTTCATATGTTAGGGAAGAAGTAACAATGGGTAAGTTGTTAAAATTGTGCAAAAACAAATCATTGATTGTGCATTACATTTTTCAGGTGTTTTAGTTTATCGAACACATTCATGCATATTTCACCCTGCTTGAAATTATCGCAACCCAGAAAAACTGAAGGGCAGTGTGAAAAAGGTCTGAAATGTGTCAAGTAGCACATTCTGACAACACATGTGCATTATCACATTTAATACAATAATCACGATGTAACTATCATTAGCCGCATTTTGAGGATGAGAAAATGGAAACTTAGATTAAATGGCTTTCTGGAACACACACAGAGAGTAAGTGAATAAGCTAGCAAGCATATTTGAACCTTTAACTTAAGTCGGGTCCTTTATTTTATAATATGAAAATTTTAAACAGAATATAGTAAAGCAATAGCTGCCATCCCTTCACTCCTTGCCAAATACCAAGCACCATGCCCAACACTTTATATATAAAACCTCCAGTACTCAACATACATCTGCACTGCAGCTCTTATCCCAATTCTATGGATGAGGAAACTGAGGTATAGACAAAATTTAATTGCTTATGATTACAGAGAGTTGGGATTCAGACCCAAATCTGTCTGACTTCCAACATTCTTTCAACAAATACAGCTCTGAGTCTGTCAATTCAAAGAGGTTGGGTTTTGATCAATAGAAGACAACACATTTTGCCTTTGCTTTTGACACAGTCAGATCTCATTAGTTTGTACCTGCTGATTTGGCATCTGGGATAATTTAGAGTTGGGCCAAATTGGTACTCTTTTGGAACCACAAGTTTGTTAAGCAAATAAACAGTGTAAGCGAATTGCTGAGAGGAATACTTTGAACTGCTTAGGAAAACAAGCAGCATTTTGGGCAATCAACGGCAGCCGGAACAATTCTTGTGCGTTGTGGATCCTCAACAGATGCGGAAGGCATAGACTCCAAGAGCTCTCTGTCTCCCAACGACAGCGTGTTAATTACAAACAATATTTAGTAATTCACTACGCTAGCGCCACAAGGGCTGCTCACCAGGGAACACCATATTGGTTTTGCATATGTTCAGGAGGCTGTTACATACTTATAAATATGACTTACCTGCCAGTTCTTTAAAAATTATATTACAGAAATCAGAATTTTCACAAAGTCATACTGGTCTTCCCTCCATATCACACTCAGAAATGAAAAACGATTGTCTTAGCCATTCAACACTCCAGAGGGTTACAATAAGTGCAGAAAAAATGAAAATGTTACCTATTCCACTAGTTTCATTGCCCATTTTCCTTCTTGCCCTCTCCCTCTTTTGGCAAGGATGTCAGAGCAGGGTTATGCACGCTTAGGAGCTGGCTCATTTGATTTGTAGAAGTGGTGACTTTATTGGCCCCCGACTGCTTGGCATTATCAAATGCCACTTGAACAGAGAGCTGCACTTTGTAATTCATTGCTGGCAGCTTGGCCTTCAGGTTTATCTTGAGGAATAAAAACTTGGCAAAGTAAAGGGAATGTGTGTCAACAGGGGACAGAGCTGGAGAGGGTCTGCTTATTTTCCTCTTGCAGCCAAGGCACTTTATCCATTTGAGGTGTTATTTTTTTTATTTTTTTATTTTTTTGCTCCTTTGGCCTAGTCTACAATAGTCAGCCCTACTCTTAGGTTTTTGTGCCATTCCCTGCTCCTTTCACTCTGAGCTTGAGAA